CTGCCCAGTGCAGTAGTCTGGGAGCTGACCTTGTTCGTGAAGACAGAGGCAAAAAAAGCATTGAGTACATTAGCTTTTTCCACATCCTCTGTCACGAGGTTGCCTCCCTCATTCAGTAAGGGGCCCACACTTTCCTTGACTTTCTTCTTGTTGTTAACACACCTGAAGAAACCCTTCTTGTTACTCTTTACATCTCTTGCTAGCTGCAACTCCAGGTGTGATTTGGCCTTCCTGATTTCACTCCTGCAAGCCCGAAAAATATTTTTATATTCATCCCTGGTCATTTGTCCAATCTTCCACTTCTTGTAAGCTTCTTTTTTTTTTTGTATTTAAGAGCAGCAAGGATTTCACTGTTAAGCCAAGCTGGTCGCCTGCCATATTTACTATTCTTTCCACACATCGGGATGGTTTGTTCCTGTAACCTCAATAAGGATTCTTTAAAATACAGCCAGCTCTCCTGGACTTCTTTCCCCCTCATGTTATTCTCCCAGGGGATCTTGCCCATCAGTTCCCTGAGGGAGTCAAAGTCTGCTTTTCTGAAGTCCAGGGTCCGTATTCTGCTGCTCTCCTTTCTTCCATGTGTTAGAATCCTGAACTCGACCATTTCATGGTCACTGCCTCCCAGGCTCCCATCCACTTTTGCTTCCCCTACTAATTCTTCCTGGTTTGTGAGCAGCAGGTCAAGAAGAGCTCTGCCCCTAGTTGGTTCCTCCAGCACTTGCACCAGGAAATTGTCCCCTACATTTTCCAAAAACTTCCTGGATTGCCTGTGCACCGCTGTATTGCTCTCCCAGGAGATATCAGGGTGATTGAAGTCCATCTACAGGACTCAGAAACAAGGAAGAGCTGACCTGGCAACTTTGTATAATCTAATTCAAGTTATGCAGCTTCAAGACGTGCATGCATGTAAATAGCATGGTCTGATCCAACATCCAGAGAAATCAATAGAAAGATTCTCCAGGTATGTCTACACTGCAATTAAAAACCTGTGGCTGCCCTGTGTTAACTGACTTGGGCTCACAGAGCTCAGGCTAAGAGTCTGTTTAACTGCAGTATAGATGTTCAGGTTCGGGCTGAAGCCCAGGCTCTAGAACCCTGTGAGAGGGGAGGGTCCCCCAAACACAGTTAAGCAGCCCCTTAGCCTGAGCCTCACGAGCCTGAGCAGTTGGCATGGGCTAGCCGTAGATGTCTAACTCCAGTTAGACATCCCCTCAGTGACTTTAACGGGCACTGGATTAGGCCTTGAATGACCACTAGATGACATAGCTGGTTCAATAAGGAGATGTAGACTAAGAAGGGGTGACTTACAACAGATTTCCTACTATTTTTTCCTTATACACAATAAACATACAAGTGATGTTTTAACAAGGAACGTACTGAAATGTACACTCTAGAAAGCAAGAAACACTAAGTCAATGTTTTGCTTCTTATTTACAAAACTTTTATTTCCTATGTTTTATACCAGGTCGACCATGTTTCTACTACAGAAAAAGGCTAGGATGGCTTTTTTACATAACTCTTACAATAACAGTATTTGCTTCAAGAAGAAAAAAACATTTTTTCTATAAGGAAAAGGAACATTTGAGCACCAATAAAAGTTATGATTTTTTTATAGCTCTGAATTTTAGCATCTGTTACACTGATGTAAATCTCTTCTTCATCAAAATGTAATGACTGGATTATGAAGAAGTAGAAACAAAATCACAAATATATATAATTTGGACGGAATTTATATGTAAATACTGGGAACGTGTAAATAAATTATAAAAATAATTTATGCAATGGAATATATTTAGATACTTAAACTATTTTTCTATATTTGCATTCAGTGAATATGAGTATGATCCAGCACTGAACCTATTTCTTCCCTAATCTTCTCTTCATCTTTAGGGCTAGAGACCTGCAAACTTGATGCACTCAAGAATTATCTGTGATATTATTTTTTATTTGTTAAGTGACAACAATATGACTGGTGATGTTCAGATGTAGATAAAGGCAGCTCCTGCCCCAAAGAGCTTATCACATAAGAAATGCTGGAGTTAGTCTAACTATTTGCATGAGTAAGTGTGTGCAGCAATGGGTACATAGGGCTAGATCCAAAGGCATATGAAGTTAATGGAAAGACATCAATTGATTTTGGACTCGGCCCAAAAGCACTAAAAAGGACAGGTATCTTTCAATTAAAATAAGACAGGTATCTTGACAAGTCATCTGTCAATTAAAATAAAATAAAATGAAATATTTCCCACCAAGACGTTAATTTCCTTGAATTAAGAAGCAAAATCCTAGGTGCGATCAGACTTGTTTTCTTTCAAGAATGCAGAAGTAAGAAAAGTAGTATTTATTTTCAGGAATCTTGCATAATGACAGGTTTCAGAGTAGCAGCCGTGTTAGTCTGTATTTGCAAAAAGAAAAGGAGTTCTTGTGGCACCTTAGAGACTAACCAATTTATTTGAGCATAAGCTTTCGTGAGCTACAGCTCAGCATCCGATGAAGTGAGCTGTAGCTCACGAAAGCTTATGCTCAAATAAATTTGTTAGTCTCTAAGGTGCCACAAGTACTGGTTTTCATTTTCAGGAGTAATACCCTACATGTACCGTACCTCTTGCATGTATATCACTCAAGAATGATTTTAATACATATTTCATTACATTGGGAAGTTATTCCAATTAAGGGCCATATACTGCCCAAAATCTGCACAAGAGACATTAATAACAGAAAGCTGAGTTTCAGTGTGGCTCAAGGGATTTAATTGGTGCTAACTGGAGTTCTGCTGCAATTCAAGGCAGTATTTGGCATTATACTATGAAGTTCTGTTCTGGATTGAGGGTAGCTCTAAGAATAGTACAGTTTTCTTAGTGAACATGGCCAGGTGTGACTGGCAATTTCATTCGTCTGTATATAACAAATACCTTGTATATTTCTACAACAAAAGAGGAAGTTAGTTTTTGCATAGTAGTCTTGGCATAGTACTAAAATGAGGAAGGGGAAGGTTTTCGGCATCAGAATGGATCTTGTCACTTGTAAAGTGCTGAAGTATTTAATGTCTTGTGTAATTAACCCTGGAGTCCATGTTTTGGCTCATTCAGCAGAAAGAAAACAATGTTGTGGCTGTCCTAACATTATACATGCAACTTTCACTAAATATAATTAAAATCTAATATCTGGAATCCTTTTGGAAAGATTTGGTGAAAAACCATGAGCTGGCAACTACACAGAGTAGAATTTAAAGGCTGCCTTCAGGTTTTCTTTGTTTGTCAAGGATCTTTTGAGTGTCGCTTTTTAAGTGTTCATTAACAGTCCCGATGGCTTGTTGACTCTAACAGTGTCATGTAAATTATTTAAGGCATGTACATAATTTTTCAATTAACAAACTGCTTGGCTCATGAAAATACATACACACAATTTATAAGTAGAAATTCTAGATGAAATATCTCATGATGAGCAGGTCATTATGAATTAAAAATGAGTTTTCAAATAAAATATTTAATGATATCTGAAATTAAATGAAACATTGCAAAATTAAAAGTTTCTCAGTTAAACAGGCCTGCTGTTTAACTAGTTTGCAAACCAAATTAAGGCTACACATTGAGCAGACTTATATGTTAGATATTAAAAGATACCTGAATTGAACTTGTGCAGAAATAAAGCTCAGATAACTATTCACTGAATGGTTTCAGAGTAACAGCCGTGTTAGTCTGTATTCGCAAAAAGAAAAGGAGTACTTGTGGCACCTTAGAGACTAACCAATTTATTTGAGAATAAGCTTTCATGAGCTACAGCTCACTTCATCGGATGCATACTGTGGAAACTGCAGAAGACATTATATACACAGAGACCATGAAACAATACCTCCTCCCACCCCACTCTCCTGCTGGTAATAGCTTATCTAAAGTGATCACTCTCCTTACAATGTGTATGACAATCAAGGTGGGCCATTTCCAGCACAAATCCAGGTTTTCTCACCCTCTGCCCCCCCCCCCCCCACAAACTCACTCTCCTGCTGGTAATAGCCCATCCAAAGTGACCACTCTCTTTACAATGTGTATGAAAATCAAGGTGGGCCATTTCCAGCACAAATCCAGGTTTTCTCACCCCCCCCCCCAACACACACACACAGGAGAGTGAGTTTGTGTGTGTGTGTTTTGGGGGGGGGGGGTGAGAAAACCTGGATTTGTGCTGGAAATGGCCCACCTTGATTTTCATACACATTGTAAGGAGAGTGGTCACTTTGGATAAGCTATTACCAGCAGGAGAGTGCGTTTGTGTGTGTGTGTTTGGGGGAGGGGGGGTGAGAAAACCTGGATTTGTGCTGGAAATGGCCCAACTTGATTATCATACACATTGTAAGGAGAGTGATCACTTTAGATAAGCTATTACCAGCAGGAGAGTGGGGTGGGAGGAGGTATTGTTTCATGGTCTCTGTGTATATAATGTCTTCTGCAGTTTCCACAGTATGCATCCGATGAAGTGAGCTGTAGCTCATGAAAGCTTATGCTCAAATAAATTGGTTAGTCTCTAAGGTGCCACAAGTACTCCTTTTCTATTCACTGAATGTGATCATTAGTGGAATTGAAGCTGGAAGAGTTAAAGACAAAACATCAGCTGACTATCTGAAGTGTTTTTTGTTTAGTTCTTAAATATATTTTGTGTGTGTTCACAGAATTTGTTAACAGAAATTTTCAATTTATACACAATTACAGTACATACACATTAACCAAATACACATGAAAAAGCAGTAGTCCATCACCTTGATTTGTATTGGTATACATTCTGAGTGCAGTGGTAGATGTGATGGGGCACCAATGAAAATTTGCTAGGTACTCTTGTTTTAACTTTCCTAGTACATACAAAATATTTTCAATGTCAATACCATTGTAGACATGTATTCAGACTTTGAATCCTGTATTTTTCTGGTATTTTAATATACCAAATATTTCAGTATACCAGCACTAAGCAAACACACTTCATTTCTAATTCAAGGTAAAAATGTTACATACCGTTAACTGATGCATCAACAGATCCATTAAAAAAGTGATCTTATTACTAAACAGAACATAGGTGCAGTTTTCTGTGCAATTACTGCAGGTCAGGTTGTAAACATTCACGGCACTGCAGAGTGACCTAAAATAAAAAATGAAATATCAACATACTTTTCTTCCTAAATATACTAATCTATAAAATCAAATATTAGGCTGTGAGGAGTATCATCAGGCAACCTAAAGTGACGGTAAGTTTAATTAATTTTTCATACTCATGTTCCACACAAAATACAAATTAGCATTAGGTAGGTTAAATAAATATTTACATGATACAGAAGTTCTGAGTGAACCTATATACATTCCAAATTCCATAGTGTGTTACCACTGCATCTGCTTTAGAACCAGAACTTGGGTTTAAAACTAACTGCCTGCCTCGGAAGCTGTAATGTTTAAAGGAGCAAACTCTCCTATGTTACATGTGGTATTAAATGTCTGTGCGCATATACACACCTTCACATTCTTACACACATCATTGGTATATTAGAAATATAGTAAATGAAAAAGAAAAAAAGGAACATCTGTACAGTATCAGGTAAAACTTATTTTTGCACAATTTGAAAAACTAATGTTTTTTCTGACAGAATTCATTATCTCATGCAAGTAACCTAGGTATACAAGATCACTGGTCAGTTTGGTAGCAGAATATTCAAGCAGAAGGATATGTTAGCATTTCCTGCTGGTTAATTTATAACACTGTACTGGGATCAGCTTTAGAGAGGGTCTGGCTTGCAGGCCCAGCAAACGAAGGTGAATTGTGCTGAACAAAAGAACAATTAACAGGTGAAATGTCAGTCTTTTGCCTCAGGTGAATCTCCCGTTGATTTTGGGACTTAGGTCTAGTCTACACTGGCAACGTTAAAGCGCTGCTGCGACAGAGCTTTAATGTGGCTTGTGTAGTTGTGGCAGAGCGCTGGGAGAGAGCTTGCCCACCGCTCTAAAAACCCCACCTCCACGAGGGGCGTAGCTCCCAGCGCTGGTGCACAGTCTACACTGGCGCTTTACAGCGCTGAAACTTGCTGTGCTCAGGGGGGTGTTTTTTCACACCCCTGAGCGAGAAAGCTACAAAGCTCTAAAGCCCTTAGAGAGACAAGGTAGGTGAGGTAATATCTTTTACTGGACCAATCTCTGCTGATGAGAGAGACAAGTTTTCGAACTTACACAGAGCTCTTCTTCAGGAACTGTGAATCATTGGCATCCCCATCATGGGGACTGTGAACTTGGGTGCATAACTACATTAGCAATGATGGGAGCTATATGTACATATCTGAGGGGAAATAGATGGTATGTTTGCAATAGCAAAAGGGAGAGCGCCAATTCTGAAAAACTGGAAAAGCAAAAAGAAAGTCATAAACAAAATGGGCCATAACAGTTCAAAATATATACAGTAAGCCTGGTTCTTCCCTACGTTGCACCTTGTGGAGTTATTTATTCCTATACAAAGTGAATGCTTTATGTGGAGTCAGAACTTTCACAGGAACTGGTCAAGGCTATGGAACTCATTGCCACATGAGATAAGCCAGACTAAAAGATTTTATCACTTTCAGAATAAATGTTTTAACAATATTTTCTTTGATTTAGCATTTCCTCAAAAATTTATTTGCGTACAGACAAGCACACAGACACAAAACACACATACAACACAACTCTACAATAAAATATAATAAATAAATAAATAAAGTCAATAAACAATTCTGGTTGCTTTCCAAAAGGAAAACAAAGAGAGAGATTGTTTTTATTTCTATTTTTAAATACATGGGAATCACTAATGTGACGCAGGCTAACCAGGCTCAATGGACAAGCCAGACTTGAGATCATTGGTAAAATTCACATTCTAGAATAGCTTGGCAGTGCCAACTGACAAGTTTTTATAGAGAAGCTGTCAAAGTCACCATCTGACTTTACTAACTGTAAAATTAATTAAATAAATTTATCTTTGTTTTATAGTTTTATTTTTTCTCGCAACTGGTGAGCATGGAGTGGGAAAATATTTAATGGAGAGAAAGCCAAAGGTCATCATTTTGTAGCAGAGTCTTAACAATATGTTTTTGTGCAGTCCCCTACTGAATAAGATTTATTTACTACAAACATTTAGGAAGCTTGCCTAGGTATTTATTTATATTGTGCTCATCACTGTCGCAGCTGATCATCTAGCTGATCATCTCCAAAGGCTGACAATTTAGAGGCATCATATATATCAATTTCAAATTCTTTCTCACATTTCCCAAACCAGTAAGGGCTGAGAATGCTCAGAAGACAGTGAATTTATAGTAAATTGTTCCTCTGTGTTGTTCGATTGCTTCTCCTCCAAATGAAAACGAACATTATTGGACTCTAAAGGGAATGTCATCTAGTCTTCCTTGGCTGATAAGAAAGTGACAGCAAATGGGGCACTAAGGATGGAGGAATGTAAAAACTTATGTATTGAGACTGTGATTGGAACAAAGAACATGCTGCAACATTTAAAAATGGATCAAGAACATTTCTGGGAGAATTTATTTATATGATAGTTGATATTATAATTCCCTTCATTTAGACATGGAAATCCATATAATCATAATGCCTGTTTGTTAATATTCTGAATATAACCATATTAATAAAAATATTTTGTGTATTGTTTATATTGTCTAGTTATAAATTAATATATTCACTCTGACTGGAACGCACTCATCCGGAAATGTGGTTCAAATAGTATAAAATACAATATCAAATTAGTGCTTTCTGAGCTGCAATGTCATTCACTTGTTTTTCAATCTACACTGACAATTCCTGAGGAAAATTCAACTAGTATGCCTCTTATCTATGATGCTTAAAGTTAAAAATATATATGCAACCAAGCTCTCTTTTCCTAACCTGGCTTTTAAAAGAGGTTTATATCCTTCATTTAACAAAATGAAGGATGAAAACATATTCCTACAGTAGTACTGAAAAATTGTGCTCTGGAACAGTGTTTCTCAATGACGAGTCAATGGGTTGGCACTGGTCCCTGAGATTTCCTTGACACAGTTTAGGAAGGCAACAAGCCGGTCCCTGGTATCAAAAAGGTTGAGAAATACTGCTCTAGAGGACTTAATTTTTCTTTCAGCAAAGATAAGTCAACATATATTAATGAAGCTATTACAATTAGAAACATAAAGGACATCTGGCAATGCTTATTTTCACTATATAAAGGACAAGTTTTAGTTCTCAACTTTTGGAAAGCTCTTTCACCTACTGCTCTAAAGGAAAGATTGATTAATTTAAATATGAAAATACATTTTCCTAACCCTTGAAATTTGAAGTTAATAGATTAATTTTACATCCTGATAAATTATTTCAAAATGTTTAGAATTATGTAGTTCTCTTACTGAAATACCAGTTCAGAGTAGATGGCATATTTCATAATTCCAAAAAAGAACCGTCATTCTAGATAGATCTAAAATGAAGAATCCTCCGTCTTAGATGAAGAATAAATTAATCTGAAGTAATACACCCTGGTTTTGTATTTCCCAAATGAATCTTACATCCAAAAAGTATTTGAAGTTCGAGATTCAAATAATGCCTTTGAAAGTGTGGAATAAGCAAATGCATGTCAAATTAATTTTTCACAATAAGGAGGGCTTTTTTAATTGATAACATAAGCTTGTTAACTATAGGCTACTATGATTAGAATGTATTTAGACATGTTCTTCACTAAGGTTCAGTTATAGAATTTTTTTATTCAAAATTGGAAGTGTCAGCACTGAAGCAGGCCCCAGGTGGTTTGCAGTGTTAAATGGCAGATTAAAGTCAGCACAACTAATTTCTTTACTTTAATCTTATTAGTAGAACAACAGCTGTCAACTGTCACCATTTCTGCACAAGGCCTCTGAGACAAGCACAGAAAGCTCTGGTGTCAAGCAAGAAGTTCATCTAACTATAACTTAAATTTACCAATTTGCAAAATTAAATTTATTTTTTGATGTTTTTGTATTGGCAGATTTTATTACTCATATTTAAAAAAAAGTATGTATCAATAAAGCTATCAAAATTATATTAGGGTAACAGAGTATTTTCCTCACACATAAAGCAGTTGTTTATTGACTACTGATGTTGTTCTAAACTTTGTATGCACACCGACAAATCAGCTTTAAAGCTAAGTTAGACAGCACATATACTCAAACCACATAAGTCTACCCTCTGATGGAAAGCTTTACTCTAAACTAGAGTAAATCCAATTATAAATACACTCGTTATGATACACAAATTTTGGCTCAGAGAAGAGTTCTATCCTGAAGCTTGACCAAAATATATGTATATACATTATATTATTTATCTTACGTGAACATAAATAAATGTGAACAATGTTAATCTTTAATATATGTCTTCATGTACAGAAGAGAACAGAAGAGTTTAGAATCTATGTTCCTGATTCTCCTCTAAATTATGCACATGTCTACAGTGGAGTTTACTCCTAATTTACCCAAATGTAAATGTCTGGATAATCATGGCCTCTATCTAAAATTGTATCCCACAACACAAAACTATTTCATGTTTGTGCACTAAGGTATGTGGGTAAAAAGTCATAACCTTTGCTTCCATAAAATCAAGGTATCACAAACATATAGAACTAGCATACCTCTAAAATAAGACTTTTGGATAGTAACTCCAACTTTGAAAGACTGGAATTAAATATACACAGTGTGAGGTTAAATACACTACAACCCCTCACTCATTAAAACCCCCCCTCAATTATTGGGTGAGTTATTACAAGACTTAAACAATCAAATTCATGGTTGTGCTACCACAAGGGTGAACTGCAAAGTTTTACCAACCACTGCTGTTTGAACAGAACCTGGAGAGCTCCTCGAGAGGCCTTCTCACTGTTTTGACAGGAAAAGAAAGCAGTTAGCTTTGGTATCTGACAAAAAAGAGCAGAATGGAGGTGACAGATGGGTTAGCAGTTAAAGAATGGAGAGAGAGAGACAGAATGGCAAGCAGTGGAACACTAAAGGAAGAGAGAAGGTATGGATACAGGATGAAATATAAAATTAAAAATTAACCAGGCAAATGTTGCATTATGAGGCTATAATGACATCTCTAGATTTTGAAGACTTAAAGACATAA